TTAAGTCAGGTAGTAAGAAGCATTACCTTCAGGCGTTCGATTTCCTGGTGACTCGATGATTCGGCTGTTCAGGATGCTTCTGCTCGCCTCCTTCGTCGTTCGAAGTCGACAACTCCGGTCGGCTTCCTCTACCGGTATCCACACTAGTAGCCCTCAACCTCGAACGGCGTGCTAGCGCCTATGTCCGTCTAGGGTTTTAGAAATCCGTCCTCTCTCCTTTGTTAGGCCGTCTCTTATCTGTTGGTTCTCTCTCTCTTAAACCCTAGCTCCTCATATCAAATATATAGGATGCTATATAGGTTTAATTAATAATATTTAATTTCGAAATTAACTCTAAATTAATTCCGAAATTAATACAATATCAAATATTGCCTAATCAGATAAGAGAACAATTAAATAAATATGGTTTAAATTAAATCCGTCTCACAGATTTAATTCACTTATTTATTTAATAAAGAGATGACGGAATTTATATATTTAATTTATCCTTATAAATTAATATCTCTTATATTATATATATATATATATACGAATTTATATATATACATATACACGTCCACCCTATTTATTCATTGAATCTGGACATATCTTAGATTCAATGAATCTGGACATCATAACTCGTGTTGGGCTATTTTGTGTGCGACCCTGTAGGCCCATATGAAGTTGGCAGTGGGCCATTAACTATAATGACTCACAAGTCGTAAGCGGTCTCTAGCAAGACATCACGACTACCCAAAACATATGAGGATCATTGAACGATGCAACCTTTCATACAACCATATCACGTCCCTTTTGTCACACGACATTTTGGTCATGGATGAGGCATGGAGAACGTCATCCTCCTATTCATGACCGTTACTTTCTCGATCCTTGAGTAGTCTGAGTATAGAAACGGAACTACCTTTCCATTATAGTATGGCCATACATTTCTCAGACTCACTCATCGAGGGGCCCAGTAATGTCTCTCTACGAATGTGAGGGACAAATTCCATCTTGACCATTCACATTCCTCCGCATGAAAAACCATTAAGCCTGAACATAGTCTTTATGATCACTTGGTCAAAAGTGACTTTTGACTAGGTCAAAGCTAAGCGTTTCTCATGTAGGAATCCATGATGATCTCAGGTCAAAGGGCATAGTGACGTGGTTTATATATGAGAGAAGCTTATGACTTAACCCATGCAGCTCTCTCATAGCGGGTCGGTCCAACACCTTGTACTCTTACATGTGCCTATGACTTTAATTTATATCTCTATATATCTTTAAAGTCATACTGGTCTTATTTCATCTTTGCTCCCACATAGATGACCGACCAGGGACATTTAGGATAAACCATGAGTTATCCAAGGATAGTCATCACAGTAAACATGCAAATAATATGATAACTTAATTAATAAATTCATAAATTAACAATGTTCAAAACAGAATGATTGGCCCTTAGGGCACATTTTCCAACATCGTTATCCTTCGGCTTCAGGGTTAGGAATTCCACTTCCTTTTCACCCCTGACTGGCCTCAGAAAATGTTTCTCATGGAATTGCTCCAGGAACACTTCCCATGTTGCTCTTGTGTTCTGAGCATCCAGAAGAATCTTGGTATTATTCCACTAGTAGTCGGTATCTTTCTCTAACTTGTAAATTGCCATTTGGGCTTTCCGCTTAGTCGGACAGTCTAGAACTTTGAAAATCTTTTCCATGTAGATGATACAGTCCTCTGCTGCTTGGATATCAATCACTTTATCAAAGGATGGTGGACTGTGCTTGCAAAAGCATATCATCCACTGCTGGATGCTGTCGGGGTCTACTGCTGGCATTACCGATCTAGGCCATTGTTCTGTTACTTGTGCTGCTGAGGTTTCTTCCTCTGGATGGAGCCAAAATGTTACAAGGACCGAAACACAAAAGTTGGGAGTGTTCTACCTCCCCAGGTCATAACATGGACTACTTAGGTCGTGACCTGGATGCCCTTTTAATGAAACTATGTGTTTTGGACCTGAGTCAAGATGAGAGCTCTCTATCTTCCCAGGTCACGACATGGAACCTCTCAGGTCGCGACCTGACCCCCCTGAGTCGCGACCTTACATTCCTGAGATCGCGACATGAGTACGTTAAGTAAAGTTGTGCGTTTTGGAATAGGTTTCTAAGCTTCTATACCTAAGGAGGGTAGCCACCACGAAAGGGGACTCTTCCATTCTGCAGATTTGCACAAGGTTGAGCCACCATCATCTCCTCTCAAGTCTCTATTGATCCTACACCCAAAACTTCCATTTTTCTTCATCTTTTCATCATTTTCTGTATTTCTAAACTAATCAAACCACTCCAACACCCTTCTTCTCCATTTTTCCAACCTCATTTTTAGCTTTAACCATGGCTATTCATTCCTGGAGCGATTGTGATTGGTTTGAAGGTATGAGAGGCTAAACCCTTAGCCTCTTGGTGATGGAAGACAAAGGTTGAGCTCAAGGACTTAATCTGGGAGTTTTCTTTCTATAGTCTAAACCTTTGTTTGATGCTGTGTTGAATTTTTCTAGATTTAGGAACTTTCTGCACTTGTATCAAACTTGGTTTATGATTGTAAATTTGTGTTTAGACTATTCTATTGTATTTGGATTAGATGATGTTAATGTTGATTAATCTATTGAATATTTTAGTTTGAATCCTTATGTTCAGTTTGATTATCAGTGATTATTGTTGATTAATCTGTGTGTTTGGTATTCTCTGGCTGTCGATTGACATTCAGAGGGCATTTGCATCATCCATTCATTTACACTCTAAGTGGTTTTCAGCAGTGTCTTAAGAGGTGTTAATTAACTTTGATTAAAGTGAGTGTTCATTAATTAAGACATTGGACCCAAGTGATTACTTGGGGTTTTCTTCAGACTTAGAGGTTTTCCAAACTCCCAATCATTCTAACAAGCAATGATAGCTGAGCTTTCATCATCAAGAGAATGTTTAATGATAATTCCCTTTTAATCCAAAACATTTCTTCATTCATTTAAAATACCAAAAACAGTTAACTTTCTGCACTTTACATTTGTTGCACCACTTTTAAAACAACTAAAACCTCCTTTTTTTACAATGTTTTTGAAAACCAAGTTAGACTAGGATTTCCAATAACAAGCTCCTCGAGAAGAACGACTGGTTGCATCCTATACTACATTTTATCTGGTGTAACTCTCTTTCCTGACGATCCGGCACATCGATCACTATACCTTCTTAGGTCCTTTCCGGTGATAGAACCCTATCTTTATATGATTTTCTCAAGTATTTGCTGATGTTTTGCAACACTTTTATCCTCATTATGCATGCATTTATAGCTTTTTGATTACATTGGTTCATGCATTGTGTTTTGCTATTTAAGGGGTAAAAAAGGTCAATTCTCCTTCCTTAATTGTAAGTGCCTTGAGGTTGTAATATTGGAAAAGGCTAAGATAGAGTGAATGAACTAACAAGTGAAATGCATGAGTAGCGAAGTATTAACTCAAAGCGAGCTAAAGTATAATCATGAAAAGACACTAATATGGAGATTTAAACTTTTGGAACAAAAATCCTTGTTCTTCATACCACCATGGAATGCCTTATTTCAAATTTTATTCTTTTGTTGCCACTTATTTTCTTTTTCTATGACTTCCTTTCTTTGGCTTTTTCTATGTATTTTCTTCTCTTCATTACCTTTTTCCACTTCTTTTTCTTCTTTTGTATCTTTTTTCTCTCTGTTTTTTTTATGTTGGCATTCAAACCCAAGAAGATATGGATATAGACATTAATGATGTACTTTTCAAAGTAAAAAAAACCAAGTGTAACTCATGCAAAAAGGTTGCTAAAATGCAATGAGTGAAATGAAAGTAAAGGCTTAAGGGGTAAACAAAGGTTAAATGTGAACGGGTTTATGTTTAGGTCAGAATAGTTTTAGAATAAAATGCCCCTATCATTTACATCTTGTTCATATCAAAATGTAGTCTAAACGAAAAATTAGGATGAGTTGTAGAGGAACATAGGACTAGAGAGTATGCACACAAATTTAGGACATACAGACTCAATTTTCTTCCATGTGGGTTTTCTCTCATCCACTTGCTTTAATTGAATTATATCTAGTCACTAACTTAATTGCCACAAAAATTAGTCCCATGGAAGAGGTTTGTAACAAGAATAATATCAACCATGCATAGATTCTAACATGATTGCAAAATGGATTTCCAACTTGTAAGGATACATCATGAGTTATGAATTGATTTCCAAAAAGGGTTTTGGACAAATGACAAAGTGTTAGGTGAACAAATCCAATTCCCTCTCTCTAAAATATTCAAAACCAGCACAAAACAGATACTCAGCGGTATTTAGTATCAGAAAGGAGGTGTACCTTTGTTTAGGAGCAGGCACCGTGGTGCATCTCATAATAGGCCACGGCGGTTTTTGTAGAATTAAACTTTTATCAGGCGTTGTAGTGGATTTCTCAAAGAGCCGTGGCTCTTTTCACATAACTAAATTTTCCAACTAAAATTATCATTCAAATCTTAATAAATGTAGCTTAAAATCACAGGAACATGCAATGCATCATTAAGAACCATAAACTTTTGAATTAAGTCACATGCTTAACTACAAAACATGGCTCAATTACTTCAATAACAACTCAGATATCAATACAATCATTATCTAATTAGGTAATCAGCAATTACTTATCTCCCCCACACTTGACAAAGTATTGTCCTCAATACAAAACCGATGAGCCACACAAACGGGGAAAAACCAATTAAAAGAAAACAAACAAATAAAAATTTCCCTAAGCTAAAAGAAAAAGGTTTCCCCCACACTTATCCTCCAAACAATTTGAAACATACAGATAAAAGCACATGAGAAAATAAGGTGGAAGAGACAACCTGCAGCCTCATGGGAGATAGAAGTTCTCATTATACGACTTGAGTAAGTGACCATTAACTTTTAGACTTAGGCCACTTTTGTCATCTATTAATTCAACAATTCCAAATGGGTGTACTATGGTTACTAGATAGGCCTATCCCACTTGGTTTTCAATTTTCCATGCTTAAACTTGAACTTAGCCTTGAATAGCAAAACCTTATCACCCACATGAAATTGCTTCCTCAAAATTTCCTTGTCATGAATGATTTTAGTCTTCTCCTTGTAGATTCTAAAGCTCTTATATGCTTCCATTCGAATTTCTGCTAGCTCTTGCAGTTGCAATTTCCTTTCCATTGCAACAGCTTCAAAATCCAAATTACATGCTTTAATTGCCCAATAGGCCTTATGCTCTAGTTCAACTGGGAGATGACAAGCTTTTCCATAGATTACCCTATAGGGTGACATTCCTATGGGTGTCTTATATGCAGTCCTATAGGCCCACAGAGCTTCTTCCAACTTAATACTCTAGTCCTTTCTTGATGGCTTGACTATTTTCTCCAAGATTTGCTTGATTTCTCTATTGGACACCTCTATCTGACCATTAGTCTTAGGGTAGTAAGCTGTGGACATCTTGTGAGTAACCCCAAACTTAGAGAATAATCCATTCAAGAGCTTGTTACAAAAGTGAGTCCTACGGTCACTTATCATAGCTTTAGGGATTTCAAACCTTATGAAGATATGTGACTTTATAAATTTTGAAATTGTGACTGCATCATCTTTCTTTATGGGGATGGCTTCAATCCATCTTGAAACATAATCCACAGCCAAGAGAATATAATGATTTCCAGAAGAAGGTGGAAATGGACCCATAAAATCTATACCCCATACATCAAAGATTTCACAAAAAAGAATAGGATATTGAGGCATCTCATTCCTTTTAGTATTACCTCCAAATCTTTGGCACTTGTCACAATTCCTAGAAAACTCATAAGCATCCTTAAAGAGGGTGGGTGATAAGCCTCATTATTTACATATATTTCTAGTCCTAAACTCATGCTTTTGCCATTTATATTTGCATATTTTAGGTATAATTAGCTTTCATTGTGCATAAGAGTTGGTGAAGGAAGTGGTGAGGTTTTCTTTGTGCTTTTGCATGATTTTATGTGAGTACTTTTGATCCCTGTTTGGTGTGAATTTTAGGGAGCTTCAACTAGCATTTTTTGCATTCTGTCTGAGGTGCCACGGTATGTCATAGAAGGCACCGCGACAAATTTGGAGCAGGACTCTTAGCAATAGGAGCCACAGCGGATGATAAAAAGCACCACGGTGGATGCTGTTTAATAAAGAGCTTAGAATCACTAATTGAAATGACATAGTTTTGGCTAGGCACCGCAGCAGATGACAGAAAACTTCAGATTTAAATACAGAAGTCGTGTGCTTGTGTAGGGGATCGGTTCATTCAGTTCTCCCACCTCCAGATCACCGGTTTTCTTATTCTCTCTGCCTTCTCTCAATTCTCCCTTCCATTTTCATCCAAATCCTTCATCTTTCACTGAACATTCATGGATCTTCCATTGATTCTTGCTGATTCTATTGCAAATCAAAGCATGAGTGGCTGAATTCTCAAGTTCTCCAAGCAATAAAGCTGACCTGAGTTCATGGAGTTGAACAGGGAGTCTTTTTAGATCTAATTTCCACCTTTTATTCTAAGATTCATTTGTATCAGTTGAACACTTGTGATTAGAATAAGAGTTGTGTGATTAGATTTATATTTCTTGGAATTTAGATTTGATTGAATATTTAGAAGTGAGTTTGTGTCCTTTGATTCAGTTGAATAGAGGATTCTCTGATAATTTGTTGATCTAATTCATTTTACTTGGACTGTTGTTCTGTAATTCTAAATTTGATTGAATGATTTTGATGGTTCACAGTTATGGTCATCCTTAGAGAATTGCAACTTGCTTCTCAAGTGTTCTAGTCAATTGATTTTCCTTCTCTACAGATCAAGACAATAAATCTAGTAAGATAGTTGTTATTGACTTGTAGATTAGAGAGATTTGAGTAGTAGCTGAATTTATCCTTTTAATTGACTCTAAGAGACTCCAAATTATAAGATTGAACAAGGAAGGAAAGATGAATTGCTAGGGGAACTATCATTTCTTATCTGAATCTCTTTTATATTTTAGAACCTTTGTTATTACCTTTTATTTTGAATTTATCCTCACTTAGATTTTCCATTCTAAAACTCAATCTTTTACCTTGGTAACTTGATAATTAAAAATTGTTAAGAATTAAACTACAACTTAAGGCTTCTTGAGAAGAATGACCTAGGTAGTGCCTCACTTGCTGCATTTCCCTAGTATAATTTTGATTACCTAGTGACAGGGTTTATCAAATGGCACTGTTGCCGGGGAGCCTTACTTGTTAAGGTTCTCAGCAATTCACTGGTTTGCCAAGAAAAAAAAAAGAGATAAAAAACCTAAAACCAAATAAAAAGTAGCTTTAGTGTTTCTGAGTTGTTTCTGCATTTTCATCACTTTGTGCATTGTTGTTGAGTTGCTTCCTTTATTGTTGCATTCTGAATTCACTTCGTAGGTTGTCAAGGAGTTAAAACAATTTGGTCAGTTGTGAATTGTTTGAATCCTTGCTTTAGCAACTCTTTCCTTTTAGTTATTCTTCCACTAAATCTGATGATAGTTGATTATTTTTATGCTTTTGAAATCTTTTTCTAGTAGGAAAACTAATACCATTGTGCTAAGGGTTCAATTTAAAGGAGTGGAGGTGTGAGAAGTATCAGAAGTTGCTGGAAATTCATTTATCAGGTTTATCAGAAGAAGGCGTCGTGACAGATTTCATCAAGCACCGTAGTGCCCTTGGGTGAAGTGATCCGGTGACAGAAGCTATGGCAGATTTTATCAAGCGCCGCAGCATCTACGCGATTTGGCTTGGGAGTTGTCTCTATAATAGGAGCCGTGACGGATCTGATAAAGTGCCATGGCAGACTTTACATATTCCCTCTTAACTTCTTGGCTTTTCTCTGATCCTTTTCTTTTGTCTATTTGCTTTTTGGCATTTATTTCTTTAGTCTTTCCTATTGTTCCCTAGTTATATGTCCCAGGATAAGACTTTTTTACCTTTTGATTGGGAAATCAATAGAACTCTTAGGCAAATTAGGAAAACCAAACAAATAACTGATTCTAGTAAGCAACCTATATTGAGTGAACCTTTTCCTTAAGTTGAATCTTGCTCTTCCTCTGAATCTGAATCTACCTTAGGAGGGCTTGTAGAATATCATTTTGTGATGGACCAAGATAATAACAATGCTCAAATTGAGAGAGGTGATACTGCAAATAGACCTCAAAATGAAAGACAAGCTGAAAATGTTCTTCATAATGCTAATGCTTAATTGAATAGAGATTAGGAGAATAGGAGCATTAGAGAAATTAATAACTCAAGTGTAAACTGTGATCCATGTGGTTTTTATAACTTTGAAGCTGATTTTGAACTTAAGGGTATCTTGATTAATACCTTACCAAGATTTCTTGGTCTTGTAGGGGATGATCCATATAGACATCTTTAAAACATACATGTTGTTTGTTCCTCTATGAAGCCTTATGGTGCCCAATTGGAGGATGTGCTAAGGAGAGCTTTCCACTTCACATTAGAGGGAAATGCTAAAGAATGGTTGTAAAGTCTAACTCAACACTTCACATTACTTACATGGGAATAACTTAAGAAGGCATTTTTGGAGAAGTATTTTCTTGCATCAATGACATCTAAATTAAGGAAGGTTGTCTATGGAGTTCAACAAGATAGTAGAGAGACCTTGTATGAGTATTGGACTAGATTTCTCGTCATGCTTTCTAAATGCCCAAATCATCAAATCAGTAAGTCTAATCTAGTCCAGTATTTCTATGAGGGCTTGCTATCTCATCACAAGAACACAATAGATGTTATAGCCCATGGTTCACTGTTTGATTTATGAAACATCCTGCCTTTAACCTCTCAGAGTACACATTCGTAAACATTATGGTTCAAGCAGACCATGACATAAGCCCGTGGATTTAAAATTTCAGCATAATTACTCGGGTTACTATTTACTATTTAACTTCCAGATTACAGGTCCAACTTCACAAATTCATAACTAATTCCATAAAAATCATATTGAGGTGTTCTAAAATTAAAAAAAAAGAGGCTATTTTGGTGCTCTTTATGGGAAAAATATCAAACTGGACTTATCCTTGCCCAATTCGTACAGTTTAATCAATAAATGTTACTATTCATTTCATAAAATCTGAAACTTCCAGATTCTGGGGCTCAACTTTGAAAATTCATATCTCCTTATGTGCACATCCAATTAAGGTGATTTACCTCTCATTGTAAAGTTTGGGATGTGTCCTATGAGCTACCAAATCTTGTGACTTACTTTATTCGTTTGATAGGCCAAACTGGAGCTACAAACTCACAACTCTAGCACCTATGTTTATCCCTTAACGTCTCTTTACTTTAATTCTTTTTATTTATTTGGCATATATAACATGGACTTACTCTTTCCGATTCATGCTCGTACACTTTTATTCATGTTATAAATACCATAATTAATTACATGGCAACATAGGCATTCGCAATATAAATTACATAATAGGAGAATTACACGTTGAATAATAATATGATTCATTAACATGAACAATTCTCCACTTTCTTCTCCTTGCTTCTTATGCCATTATTTCCCACTGATGATTGACCTAAATGGTTGGTTAGGGACAGAGTGAGATTCGGGAGAATCTTCCCGAATCTCAGTAGCAAACAATACTTTATTAATCATGCTAGATGGATGCTAATGCACTACACGCAACTTGTTTATTCTCTTGTTAATTAGTGACATATTAGCATGCTCAAAGCTAACTTCTTAATGCATGGCCATGGAGACATAATCTACTCATCATGAATAGCAATTACAGTAGATAAAACATGTCATAATAACATTCAATAACATGTACACGGCAACACACAAGCATACAACATCAAGCAATGACAATAGGTAAGTTCACTACCTTGCACCTCAAGCGTTCCTCTTACTTTTCCTTTGACTCCCTTGACTTTCCAACCATGTGGACATTTGGTTAACATTACCAAACATCCTCTTGGATGTTTTAAGGTCCTAAACATAGTCATAATGATCATAAAATCTATTAGGACTAAGAGATTACATAAGGTTCAAGACTATCTCTCTTGAACTTAACCTCTTTCTCTTAATTTTAGGATTTTCTTTCTAGCTTTTCTAATATAAATCTCATCATTTCCCATCCTTAAGATCTATTTCTTGTCAATTAGGACCACTTTAGATGGCCTTAGATTCAAGAAGATCAAATCTGAAATGTTTGCTTCGGGGGTACTGTTCACGCAGAAATTCGAGAATTTTTTTCTCAACTTTGAAAATTCATAATTAATTCTAGAAAAATCAA